GTAGCAGCTTTCTTTTTTTTTTTTAAGTACAAATCTAAATCAAAGAAACAAAAAGTACTCACAAGTAATCTGTGCTTCGGCCTGAAACAGAGAAGGTAAACAAACTGTAGGTATACATTGTGTCAACATGCACGCTTTAGAATCACGTCACGCCGAAAACAAGAATTAACAAAAGAAAACAAAATGTTACATTATTTTTTACCCGGATCAATTGTCCATGAGTTATAATAATAGACGTGGTAAGAACAAGACAACCAAGGAAGCAAAAATACAATAAAACGAAAATAAATGATCCAAGTGTCCTGTATTTTATTACGTACAAGATGAAATTCGTCAAATAACAATAACTCCTCATGTATAAGTACATATGTATGAGAATTGTGAATATTATGAGCACACATACGTTAGAATATCATATTTATTAAGCGTTGTAGTCCAAACAGACAGACTGAGCCAAGTGATCAGAATCAATTTGAGTAATGAGAAACATCTGGTACATCCTCTTTTCCACCGGCCACATAGACATTTCCAGTTGCCCACCTGACATGGGAGCACTTTCCAGTTTTAATTTTAAAGAATATAATTTCTGGGACTTCCGCGACCCACCCACTACATTCAATGAGCTGAAGCAGATTTGAATGTGCGAAATATTTGTGACTGTTGGATAATTTACATATTATTTGACCTTGTACTTTAATCAAACAAAGCTACGTCAATTATTTACAGGGGGCTATAGTGTACCCCGGTTTCGAAACAATAGAAGTGGAAGAAATTGAGAAACGAAAGAAGGATTATTTTATTGTCATTAATAGACATTCTTATTATTACACTTTTAAAAAATCAAGACAGCCACTGTAATAGTTAAATCTCAGGTTTTCTACTTTATGCAAAAGGCCAAAGAAAAATAAATCCAGTAAGTTCTTGTTCTTAATATTTCAAACATTTTGTTTTCAACGTTGTCTTAATTACAATATTCACACAACAAGCTTGCGATTGTTCTGTCTATCAGTTTTAACTAAAGTACCCAAAGAGCACTCGGAGTGACGAAACCACTGGAGACAACATCATGTACGTGTACGTGAAAATGGAACCTAGGGCGAGGCTAAGCCATCCTCGCAAGACACTAACAGGGCGGATACAAATGAAGGAATGGTGCCCTTTCTATGTGAAGTATTTACCACAAGAGTAACTGTTTACAATGTGAACCTTAAATGATAACAATGAACAAACTTAAATGAAAAGGCATATCATGTTTACGGCAGTTTGGAATAAATAATGAGTTCATAACCAGTGCTTGCGTTGAATCACTTTTGTATTGTTCTAGTATTATGTTGAGTTTAGAAGCTTCAGTCGGAAGTCTAAAATAAATTTAAACAAAAAACGATGATGCAATTTGCTCCAAACGTGACAGTGTAAGTGTGATCAGTAAAACGACTTTCTAAGCACAAAGGAGAGGGGGGAAGGGCACTTTCACGGAAAGGGAGAAAATGAAAGGAGGTGAGGATGTGGAAACATTTTTCCAGTTGAAAACAATTTGAAAAATAACTTGGATAGTCACACCAAAAGAATATCTTGAAAGAGACAAAAGAGAAATGATACAGATCTACTCTAGATCCGATACTCTACAGATTAAATAACACATTCTAGCACTTTGGAGTAGAACGAATTAGGAACAGAAATCAGATATAAGCAAAAGTATATTCTTATAGTTCAAGATGGAGGGCAAAACGAAGGGATACTACGGTTGGAGACAAAGGTACAGATACAAAAAAAAGGACCGCACAGTATATATATATCGGTTAACTGTTAAGAAGACAGACAGACAGACAGGTAGAAAGGCAATCACATGGGGGCAAGGGGGTGGTGATCAGCATTTATTATTATGATATTGATATACCCGGAGCATAATTTATACATGATGCAATATAAAGAAAAATGCTAAAACCTGCTCAGAATAGAATAAAAAACCTTTTAGTAAGTTGACAATGGTGAAAAAAAAATGTTTAAATGAAGAAAAAAACTTGCGCTATTGTCCCTTGAAACAAAAGCTAGAAGTTAGCAAGCATAAGATCACGGTTTGGGATACCAACGGGAAACGCCGAGCGCAATTAACGCTGCCGACGAGTCAAGCCAACCGCAAGCGCGTTATCGAAACACAGAGCTGAGCATCATTTACAAACATAAATGTTTTTAGAAGTGTTATTTTACAGAAAAACGTTAAAGTCAAAACTGAGGAAAGTTTCTCCCTTGAAAGGCTTCTTTTCTCACTGATGAAGGTCGCATCAAAAGCTTACTTACCCGACAGAACAGGGAAAAAAGAACTGTCATGAATGATAATGCCGTATTGGCATCCAGTTTTGCTTTGGCAGTTTTTACTATTATTATTTCAAATCTCTCTCTCTCTCTCTCTCTCTCTCTCTCTCTCTCTCTCTCTCTCTCTCTCTCTCTCTCTCTCTTTCTCTCTCTCTCTCTCTCTTTCTTTCTCTCTCTCTCT